TATTGTTCCTCATATAGTCTTATCAACGGATTATTTCAGGCGAAAGAGTCAAAGACTGGAGATAAAAACATAGACTTATAGCATTGGGATCTGAAACCTATAAAGATCCTATCGGGTAGATATACTTCTCGGAATAATGAGATGGGGGGACTCTTTGTTGTTGGGGGTCAAATTCATGCGTCGTTCTCTTTGTTGGTGTTTCCATGGATGTTGGTAGATAATGAGGAGGATGAGATATCTGCTTGGTTCTTTATTATTCACTATTTTTGGATACTCAAACGGCTGTTGGTAGCAGGATTGCTCCATGTTTAAATTTGACTGTTTATCTTCTTGTCAGTAAAATCGCATAGAGATATGAAGGTCATAAAGTTCAAGCTTCGGAATGGTCATTGGTAGTCATTGTTGAAACATTCTTGTTCCCCATTATGCTCCAGGCGGCCAGTGAGATATGTCTTTGGCCTACTGACAGGATCTCTGTCGGCAGCACTCCTGCCTACTATGTTAGTGACAACAGTCTAGTACAGTCATTCGTCAATTCATTTTCGTCAGTAGGGGAATATGGTGAGTCTATTTAGAACAAGTGGACCATGTATTGAAGCAGCAGACTTGTAGTGGCCTGGATGCAGTGCTCTCTCCGTTTATTGGACATCTTAGTTAGATGAAAGGAATCTTATATTGACTACCATATGTGATCATGTCATTTATTCCAGGCTTATCACTATAAAATAACGTTGTCATGTGACTGACTGTCCTTGCGGAGCCAGTGCGGGACAGTTTGGGCACCCCGGATGACGAAAGTCTGCAGGATGATGATAGCCATAGGGTTACTACTAGTTTCTGCACAATAGTAAGCAACCAAACCTCGGCTTTGAAATTCAGAAAATCGAACGAATTATATGAAGCAACGAATGCCCACACAAGCGGTGTGAAGCATACCTAGCCATGTGAAACCCAAAGGGGCAGTGCCAAAATCAGGCCGGAAGATCAATGATCCAGTCGCGGGGCGCGCGGGTTGTCGGGGTCCCAAAGCGGACTAGCGGCAGGCAGTCGGGGTCTCGAAAGGGGCATAGCGCCAGGCTGGGGCAGATGAGCCTTGTTCAGGCCATTGTATGTAAGCCTTGTACCACCGCCGGTCCATCCTTCGATTTCCTTCACTCCTTTTTGTCTGCCTGATTCTTCATCATCTCCAGGGACACTCCTGAGGGTTACCTTCTTTCGTTGTTTGCCTCTCTTCATCTTTGAAGGCTTTGCCAAGTGCCGGGTTCGACGTGACTCACCCCGTCGGAAAGGTTTCTCCTCCGTCTTTCCTTATCAGGCAATAATCTCAAGGCCGGCTTTTTCCCCCCCGTCCTTCCGGTCATCCTGAATTCCCGGGCATCAACTCTCCCTCAAAGCCTCGTCTCTCCTTCGATCATGGCTGCCGACCAGTTGCTCCAGTCTATCGCTCATTCCACTCCCGGTGAAGAGTGGTTTGACTTTGACAACTCCTTCGACATCCCCTACGGAGGTGTGGGAAGTAATCCCACTTCGGTGGATTCTGTCTCCCCAAAGGATTTGGATCTAACTTTTGCCGACTTTGATGACTGCAATTGGGGTCCGAGTCCTGGGGTCTGCACTCAGGAGCTATTCGCCGATCTGGTCAACTATGATGCGCCTATGGAGGGCTTTGGAGGACATGCATTGGACGCCTCGCCATCCATGCTGGACCCCACCGGGTCCTTCCACCAGATGCCCGCATCTCCGACTCCGGGGCTGATGGGGTCGGAGCTGACTGACCTATGGTCACAGGATATGGGCGGGGCTGACGACCCCTTCTACACCACTGTCCGACAGATGGTGGAGTTCCAGGCTGCTGCTGATCCAAGCGCATTGTCTAGCAAAGAAAAGCGCATGGAGGCGTCTATTGCTCTTCACATGCAACGCCTTCAGGAAGCAGCAATGCAGGATCTGGAACTGTCGTCGGACTCGAGCACAACATTCCCATCCCCTCGCTGGTCCGACTCTGCAGCAAGCGTTTATCAGGGTGGGACATGTACAACCCCAGCTACCACACCTTTGCCCGATGTTATGCGCACACCAGTCTCGGGCTCTGAGTCTGCAGCTGGGGTCATGGAACTGGTGCTCGATCTTAACATGAACACAACCACGAACGTACCGAAGAAGCAAAAGCCTCGATCGCAAGCTCAGAAAGAAAACTACATCAAAGTTCGAAAGCATGGTGCTTGCGAGAAGCACAGGAAACAACACAAGCGGGTAAGTAAATCCCCTAGAGCAGCCGGATGTCTGTGTACTAATTCAAGTATAGTGCAACTGTCTCGAGAAGGCCGCCTCCCAAATTGCTGTCAGCCAAAAGGCTGTTTCTACTTGCAACATACCAATGAAGTCGACCTTCAGCACACAACGACATGTTCACAGATCCGAACGAGAATCTCTTCTTGTGAGCACGGCGCCGACACCAGCCAGTAAGTCAACTGTTTCACAGCCGACAGGAGGCTTGGGTTCAAAGGAGCTTCAATACGTTCAACTTCGGCATCGCCACCGTTTGCAATCCACCCATGCGTCGATGGATCCTCAATATGGATACCACTCGCCACACTCAGTCAAGTCATCTGCAAGCTGTCGTGGCGACGTAGACTTCAATGGCGGCGGTACAGGTCGTCCGACAATGTTCCGGGGCAGCTCGGGACAGCAGCAATCACCAAGGTCACCTGGTTCCGACCGCAGGGTCGGCCTCGTCCATTCACTGTCGAAGAGACTGCAGATCTGTTCGACATCAAGTCAGGCAGATCGGGGAGCACTGGCTCTTCGCCATGCTCCGGACAGACAACAGGCAAGCCAGGCTGTCACAGCCCGCATGCATGTGTCAGTCCAGGCATCAATTCCACCCCGATCCAGTACAGCTGGCGTCAGCGGCGTACTATGGAAGCCAGGCCCCTCGTCGGGTGCTGCTGCCACAGCAAGTGTGCAATCCAACCGCGGCACTGAGACCAGTGCCATATTCGAGAGACACGCCAGTTCCTGGCGCGTCAGATCTTCGGAATATCCATCGACACCCCACTCGTTGGCCGTACAAGCCAACGACGTCCACGACCAATTTGCGTCGCGGACAATTGTGTCAAGGGTACTTCAAAGCGTCTTTCCGGTCTCTCACTTCTTGGATTTATCTGTATGCTTCGCTTCTTGGTTGAGTACGTGCTTTGACAAAACCTGGAGCTTTTCCAGATTTGGCAAGCTCGTCATGATATCGACCAGACGGCATTGGCTTGCGGGGAAGGGATTTCGATGGGGTTGATTGAGATTTAAAACTTGCATAAGCGTGTTTTCTCTGTTTTATATGTATATTTACCAGTTATTTAGCGGTGTGAGTTCTGTCTTTGCTTGATACCATCGTCCATGCTAGAGCATGAGGTGAACAGTTAGGAATGGTCATTTCATACATTTCATACAATTTATTCTAATTGGTTTAACTTTTATTGATCTCATATACAAGCAACTAATAAGTAGCGTTTACCACATATTGACTGAACTTTGCACAGGACCCCTCAAGTAATCGGTAATCCGGAGTAGCCCTGTACTCAAGGACATCCCATACTGCGAATCCCGAGTCCACCGTCCCCACTGCTATACAATCCCACCAACCAATCAACAGCCCTCCATCATCCGCGTTCCAGCGGGCCCCAAACCGAATGGATCCATTTATCAATCCATCCATTCTCCAATTCTCATCTCACTCCCTTCATCCAAAAGAATCCATACCCAACCCTCTCCCTATCCTCATCCCAATGACCCCCTCCACCCCCACCGAATCGCACTGGCGATTCTCCACCGTAACAGGCTACTTCTACCAAAGCGAGCCCTCCACCGACCCCAACACCCTCAACTACGTACGTCCACCCCAAATCCCCCTATCCAACCCAGAAACTAAAATCATAAACCCAGGCATCTTCCAACTTCGGCCTCATTCCCCGCGCCTACCCCACAGACGCAGACCTAGGCCCCAACAGCAACAACCAAAAAACCACCTGGGAGCGCTTCGCCCACCACGTGCGCACCCTCAACGCCCAATCGACTGACCCTAATGTCCGCTACAAGGTACTCTTCCTCGGCCGCCACGGAGAGGGCTACCATAACGTAGCGGAGCGGGAGTACGGCACGGAAGAATGGGATGTAAGTAAACCAGTTATCTAAACTCAAACCCCCCCCTCTCCACCATAACCCTTCATCATTGATAATAATGAAAAACAAAAAGAAACATTACTCCCTCCTCCCCGGCAACGGCACAAGCAACTGGGTCGACGCCCGTCTCACAGAAGTGGGCAAATCCCAAGCGCGTACCGCGCACAATACCTGGAAACAGCAACTCAAGGAACATCATATCCCCACTCCGGAGAAATTCTACGTTAGTCCGTTGAATAGATGTCTTGAGACGGCGTGGATTACTTTCGTTGGGACGGGGATGGAGGGCACCGAGCCGTTTAGGCCGGTTGTTAAGGAGGTATGTATATATATACCTTCCTCCCGTTCTCCCATCTCTTTGCTTCCTTCCTTCTGTTGAATACTAAATTGTCGATGACAGCTCCTCCGCGAAACCATCGGCCAACACACCTGCGACGGCCGGTCCAGCAAAACAGCCATAATGACCGAATACCCTACCTACATCATCGAGGAAGGCTTCACTGAGAACGACGAGATGTATGATGCCGAGCTCCGGGAATCTGATTCCGCGCGGGACAAGCGATTCCGTGATCTGATGCAGGATATCTTTTCCACGGATGAGGAGAAGGTGTTTTTGTCGTTGACGGCGCATTCCGGGGCGATTACGAGTCTCTTGAATGTTTTTGGGCATCGGAGGTTTTCGCCGCTTGAGACCGGTGGTGTTATTCCAGTTTTTGTTCGTGGGGAGAAAGTGCAGGGGCCGTTGCCCGTTATGGAGGTGGAGCCTTGGTTTGGGGTTCCTAAGTGATTTGTCTAGACATATCATAGTTGGTGTTGCATATAGAGAGAAAGGAACTAAGAAGTATATAGATGATAGATATTGTATTGTACATTGATTCTTGGATCGAAGCAACCCTCATCATACACGCACGTTAAGATAGAGACACGGGGGGGAGGTAACCAAGAAAAAGGGTTTTTTAAACACATGCTGAGAAAATCCACCAGAGAGGAATAAAGTGCTTCTTAACGGTCTAGGAATATTGAACAGAAAAACAACGCCGAAAACGTATAATCAAAACATTGATCACCAGCTGTAGAACTGGTTCTGTGCCGTGATCTTGCGGTCCGGCAGCGGCGTCCAGAGCTTAGCCTTACGCTTGCGCAGCTCCTCGGCCTCCCGGTTCTGCCATTGACGGATACGCGTCTGCTCCTCCTTCAGCACCACCGACAGAGAGGTGTACGGCGGACGCATGAGATTGATGTTGCCACGCGCGCGGTGGTCGTAGTCGTAACCGTACGGGCCACGGTTAACCCACGCTTGGTCGATGTAAATGGAGGTAGGGTCGTTGATGGTCTTGCGCTCTCCGTTCTTGAGAGTGATGGTGACGGGCTTCTGGTTGGCGGTCTTGCCCTCGACGGCTCCCAGACCCATACCGGAACGCACCACGGCGACGTTCTTAGCATGCTCGAGGTGCTCGAGGACCTCCTTGGCGGCCTTCTTCTTGCTCAGACGCATCTGCAGCATGGCATCGTCGATGTTCTTGCCGGCGATTTGACGAGCAAGAGGACCCAGCTTCTTGACGGAGGTCTTGAACCAATGGGACTTGGAGAGGGACTCACGCTCCGTCCGCATGATCAGCTCGGTGGGCGAGATGCGGCCGCGACGACGGATCTCGCGAGCAACCATCTTTTGTTCCCAGCGCGTGCGCGCCTTGGGGTTCGGGTCCAGCACTGCCTGCATCGTCTCCCGGTTTCGTCGGTCAACGGCATAGTCGATCTCTTCCTGGCCCTCCTCGGTGGCGCCTGCTTGCTTGCGAGCAGCGGGCGTACGGCCGGAGGCCACCAGCTTGGGGCTGGCTTCATCCTCTGCAAAGATGGAGTCGGCGCTCAGGGAACCCTCGCGTTTGGCGGGAGCGGTGGTGCGGCGAGCTTTGGGCTTGGCGGCGCCGGGCTTGCCGCCGAAGAAGAAGTTCTTGATCGAGGACAAGGTGGAGGGCTTCGATTCGGACTCGGACTTGTCATTGGGGCCGTTGGGGCCGTCTTCGGAGGCTTGACGAGGAACAGTGTAGGCCAGTGTGCGGCGAGGGACGTAGGTCAGGCCGGTCCGGGCTGAAGAGACTGCAGGGAAGAGGTGAGGATGAGAGGGGCCACAATTGGGAGGAAAATAGGGTTATGTGTCTTGCGGGTACTTACTGGACCGGATCAGCTGCCCATACTGGGGGACAGCACCCATTGAGGCCATGACGGACGATGAATCTGGAGGTGATAGCACGGGGTCCGGAGATCAGAGGGAAAAAAGTGTCGGGATGAAGACTGGGCCTTGGCGGTGCGTCTCCGGTCTGTCCGGTCCGCCGGATGCTTCTGCCTCGACACCTGATATTTCCGGGGTCAAGATCCCAAGCCGCAAGGCAAGCACTAGTCTAATTCTGGAAGGGTCAGCCGCGGCTGGATCATGTGGCTTTGGCTGGAAAGGGAATCCCGGTCCTGCCAATCACGGCGTAAGACCATCTGTATGATGACCTCATACCCCAGAAGGTGTGGTGGCCTCGGCCTAACCCGCTTTGCCCGTTCGGGTAGCAGCCGGCCAGGCCCTCCCATTGAGGAGGTGTACTACATGCATCCATCCATGCCTGCTGAGAACAAAGTTTAGAATTGGCCATGCATCCTTCAGGGCTCGGATCGCGCCTGAGTGTCTGGGTCCTCCAGCCACTGACCATTTATAGTTACCCGTCTCCCGAGCTAAATCACTGGCCGGTTACACAGCACGAAAGATCGATCAAAGTCGAGATTCCCTGCTTTTGCAGATAAGAACCCAGCCGCAAAGCTGCTGGGACATGCAGACTGCTGGAACTGGTATCACTTGACATGCGTTCATGTTCTATCAGCTCAGTGGTAATCCCCCTGTTCTCTCAATGCATATCTGGTGGTTGATGTCCGTCAACTTACCTCCCATATAAGCAGCATTATTCATTGTTGCTTGTCTCATCTATATCAAAGCTAGAAAGCGTTATACAACAACTAGCTTCTATGGCTCAGTTGGTAGAGCGCATGACTAGTAATCATGAGGTCCGCGGTTCGAATCCGCGTGGAAGCATTTTTTGCCCTTTCGCTTTTTGCCCTATCACTTGTCTCTAGCCCGTCTTTGGACGCTGGTACCGAAGATAAAGGGACAAGTTCTGCCAGTTGAAGTAAATTAAGTGATCACTGGTCGGCTGCCATGGAAAGTGAGCCGCAAATATCCAAGATATTCCAGGTCTTGTGATCAACCAGCAATGAGCTTCTATGCCAGTTGTAACATTGGGTATAGGAATTGAGTTGGAGATCCATGGATCTCTTGGATACTTTGTTCTTATTTGGGGCCCATTTGCCCACCCCCTGCCGTTCGGGCTTTTCATGACTTTGTATAGGATGTTTCTGATTGTTGGCACTCGGCAGAGCTTGGTGCGGATAGACACCGTGCGCCAGCCTCGAATGGTAGACAATGAGCCTTTGATACTTCTCTTTTTCATTCGAGGCCTCGAGATGGAGCATTGTCTCGGTGACTCTCTTGTATGTCTCGATAATTGGTTACTGCCATAGGACTTACTTTCGGTCATCTCTATATATTAGCGGCGCCGAGCTATTTCCGTAATGGTGGGCAGCGGATGGTTATGCGGCAGGTGCTAGGGGGTATGATCCTCTGCTGGCATTGTAGGTTGTGTATTCAGTGGATGGGTTTTCGGGGTTTGCGTTATTATGGGCGCGGTGGTGGCCTCAGCTGGTATCTATTGGCTTCAATCTCATCAAATAACACATTGTGGTAGTTGCTATAGGTGATACTGGTGTTATTAGTTGGCCCGTGTGGGTGGTTAACATCATGATGGCGCGGTGTCCATGGCGATAGTATATATAGTGTGCACGGAAAGCTGGCGAATGTAGCGGCAAAACATCTGCAAGATTGACAAGCTGTAGACTAGAAAATATAGACGGTGTGGTGGGTAGAAAGGGAATAAGAATTCTTGCAGCACTACTCAATATGCTTAAATGTGTCTCAAGAGGTGTTTGCATAGTAGTAATGATAGCAATAATAATGTATCTTTCTGGAAGGCGCGGACCGTCCAATTCCAGGGCAGCGGGTGTTTAGCATAGGAACAAGTAGCATAAGATGCAAGTCATTCATATCAACCAGCTTCTATGGCTCAGTTGGTAGAGCGCATGACTAGTAATCATGAGGTCCGCGGTTCGAATCCGCGTGGAAGCATTTTTTGCTCTTTCGTCATTCCGTGACATCGTCAAGCCTCCACCACCCGCAGAACCAATCAAACGGTGGGATTGTTGGCCGAGCGCATCACTAGTCGAGATGAAATCCTCGGGTCGAGTCCGAGTGTGAGCCTGCATCGCTAGCCTTGTAGAGGTGTAGGGGGGTTGTTGAGCCGGGGCAGTAGATAGGTAGCAAGCAACTCAACTCATCTATGACTGACTGTCTGGGAAGGTTGTAAACAACCCTCGTCACATTTTTTTTTCTTTCTCAGCTTCACATGTACACAGCACAGTTAGTAGCTAGCCATTGGGGAAGAGCAGATAATAGTAGAGTAGGGGTAGGATATAACTAAGGAGAAACACCGAGGTCGTTGGCGGGGAAAAAGCAGGAACCTCCCCTCCCCGTGCACCCTTTTCTTTTTCACAATGACGATGACGATATTCCAGGCACTTGCATGGGTGGTTAGCAGCTCACTAGCTGGATCGTCACAGCTCTGGATCGTTTCAGATGGTGGGTGAGAGTATTTTCTTATTTTCTTTTTTATTGTCTGCTATTGTTAATTCTACAAGTCCGAAGTGGAGGGTAGCTAGGTAAGTAGGTAGATAGATAGAGAGATGATATAGGGTGTAGTTGTCTTTCTGGTGATTGATTGATTGAATTGTTAGTCAGTTAATATTAATTATCTGAACCATTATCCTCTCTGCTGTCTGCTCAGCTTTTCTCATGCCGAGCTCAACTCCCATCTCCACCGCGTCGATCCACTGCTCTCTTCTCTTCGGCCTCACATATTCTTTTCCTCACTCTGGTCTTTTCCGTTCTCCTCCCTCCCTCCCTTTTCTTCCCTCTTTTTTCCATCCTCTGCCATCCAGGGACTTCCCGTGCGTGTTTGTTCCCACGTTTCCTTTTTTTTTCTTTTTGCCCTGTATGCTTCAGCCTTCCTGCTCCCCCCATCGACCCATTTTCTCCTCCTTTCCCCCCATCCGTTCCCGCCGAGAACTTCTCCGCTGACCAGCCCGTCCAGGTTCGCTATCGCTCGGACCAGGAGAGCTTAAGCCTTAAGCCTTGGGAGTCCGTCGGTCCCTCCACGCAGAAGTGTCTCGTTCTCGTTCTCCCTCCGTCCGCGCCTCACTTTAGCAGCGTTTCGCAAGCGCCCAACTCGTCAAGCTCTCTTCTACCTGCAGAGGACTACCAAAAGGGCCGGAAACCAGCAAAATAGAAAATAACATACAACAAGATCAAGAGAAACGGAAGAGGAAACAACTAACTAACAACAACAACAACAACAACAACGACGATCATTCACCACATCTCGTCAATTGTTTAGTTTTTCCCTTTTTATTTTCCTTTTAGATCCACACCTTTTTTTCCCTTTCTGATTTTCTTTTCTTTTTCCTTCTTCTTCTTCTCTTCTTCTCTGAATCTCTTTTCCACTTGTCATACTTTCCTCACTTCCAGACTTTTTATTGTCTTCGTTTTCCTTCGGGACTAATTCCCTTTCCACTCCATCATTTCTACTGTCAAACTCCGGCCACCCCTCCACCTCTCAGGACCAGGACAAGGACAAGGAACGGCCAAATCCTGGACAGTTAACCTTCGCCCGGTCATAAGGTCTGGACAAGACAGGCTGTGGAACCGGTGCAGGAATGGACTCGTTGATGAGGCGTCTTGCGGTGGTTCTATTAATCTAGGTTTCCCTTATTTTCTTGCCTTTATTTACTTGACATCCTTTCCTTTTACTCTTTGATTCTCTGCCTGAGGTCCTTAAACTTCCCTTCGGCTCTGCTACTTACGTCAGCACCAGTCTCGCTGGCGCTTTGACTCTTTCCTCTATCCATCAGCTTTGGCATTTGCCGTTCCCTGGTCCTTCTTCCCTCCCCCGCCAGTCCGGCCACCAGTCTTGATGATGGACATCAATTCACTCCTTTCGCCCCAGGATGCCAATTCACAGTCCGGGCGCTCAACCCCCTCTGCGGGTTCTTCCTCCGTCCCCAAAAATTCCTCTTCCTCTGCCCCGACCTCTGCTCCTCATCCGAAGCCCTTGCGAAAGAGTCGCCCCGGCTCGACCAAGCAAGGCATGACTTCCTCGCCGCTTGCGCAGCATGTCTATGCCCCATCCCACCTGCCTGAACCTTCGCCGCCCGCCATAAGTCCCAAGGTCGGTCCTAGCGTGGGAGGTGGGAATGGTACTCCCCCAGCGGCTGACCTCCCTCCCCCAAGACAACCGTCTACCCCCGGCATGGACACCCTGGCCGACCTGGCGTCAATGCAGCATCATCAACCGCCGCGATCCAATGCCCCTATCCTGCGCAGCACCGAGGCGTACGAGCACCAGCTGTCCCCTTCCACCATGTACCCGCACGTCAACCCAATTTCTCACAACACTCCTACCCCGCGCTCCTCGTTTGATATCGCAATGTCGGATGGTCCGCGCGAAAGCGCCCGTCGAAGCTATATGGATACCTCCCTCGTCCCCAACGCCCAGCGACAGGCGACGGAACTGTTCGCTCAGATTCAGGAAAACCCTCAGTCCTACGACGCGCATGTTCGCTTCGTTCGCCTTTTGCACGCTGGCTTCGTCAACCACGTTTACCCTCCAAATAACCCCGATATCCATGGCGACCCCCGGAAGTACGATCTGCTCAAAGACATGCGGACGGCTCGAGAGGAGATGGACAAATTGTTCGCCATGGGTGAAGATCTCTGGGCGGAGTGGATTCAGGATGAAAGCATGCTGGCACAATCCGTGGAAGAGCGCATCGCAGTGATGGAGCTCTGCCAGCGTTCGATCGAGGAAGAATACGGTAGCACCAAGCTGTGGGGCATCTACGGCGAGTGGCTCCTGTATCTCTACAATTCGGCCAACGGCGACGCCAGTCAAAGCCAGTGGACCGAGGAAGACCGCATGGTCGGTCGCGAAGTCTTTTCTTGGCAGTCCGTCCTCGACGTGTGGCAACGAGGTGCCGAATCTACGCGGTGGAGAATCCACGACAGCCATCTGGTCTGGGATCGATTCCTTGACTTGCTCGTGCAAGATCTCTCTCGCAACCCATCACAGGACAAGATCAACCATGTGAGAGGGTTTTTCGACCTCCGCCTCGCGACTCCCCATGCCACCTGGGATCAGACCTTCCAGTTATTTTCCGGGTTCATCTCGACGTATTATAACGCAAACTACGAGAACATCATGGCAGAAATGGCCGGGAAATATTCTACAGCAAGCAAGGAGACGTACTCCGCCCGCGAAGACTTCGAGATCCGGTTGCGCAACGCGGCCGAGGCGGGCGACATGGGACAGGAATGGGTTGTGTTCACCGAATATCTCGAATGGGAGCTCAATCGCAACCGTCGCAAGCGGCACACAAATTTCGACCTAGTTAATGCAGTATACCAGCGCGCCGTGCTGCGCTTTCCGACCGATGCGAACATGTGGGAAGATTTCATCATGTTCCTGATCGACGAATCCATGCACGGTAATACGAATACCACGACGATTTCCACACTCGACCGTGCGACCCGGCACTGCCCCTGCTCCGGCAGCCTCTGGTCACAGTACCTGCTCAGTTCCGAGCGGGAAGGCCAGTCGTTTTCCAAGATCGCGGATATCAAGCACAAGGCCACCAGTACGGGTCTGCTGGACGTGGGCGGCATGGAGGAAGTGCTCAAAGTGCATACAGCGTGGTGTAGCTACCTTCGTCGACGGGCTTTCCTGTCCGATTCCACCGACGAAGACATTGACGTGGCGGAAGTTGGTATCCGGTCTGCTATCGAAAGCGTCCAGGAACTGGGCGAGAAGAAGTATGGCCGCAACTACCAGGGCGACCCATTGTTCCGGTTGGAGCGCATCTATATTCGTTATCTCAGCGAGAGTGGCAGTTGGGACAGCGCGCGGGAGACTTTCAAGGGTCTCGTGGGACGTCGTGGCAATAGCTACGAGTTCTGGCTGACTTACTATGAGTGGGAGCTGATCTCCTGGAGTAAGTTTGTTCAAAACGAGACTACGATTGATGCCGCCCGGCGCACTCCGAACCCCAGCTACGCCACTGCAGTGCTGAAGCAGGCGATCAAGCGAACCGACCTCGATTGGCCCGAGAAGATTATGCAGACCTACATTGCGCACTGCGAGGACTACGAGGACTCGGATGAGCTGCAGCTGGCGATTTTGGAGACGCGCAAAGCGATGAGAGCCGTGACTGCCCGCCGCGAGCGCGACGCAAGGGAGCTGGCCGCGCGGCAGGCTGAACAAGCTGCCGTGGTGGAACAAGCCACCCCGCAGGCGGAAAAGCGCAAACGGGAGGAGGAGACGGGCATGAACGGACTCCCTGCCAAAAGAGCTCGTGCAGAGGAGGCCGAAGTATCGGTTCCCGTGGCCGCCGAGCCGGTCGCTCTTCGTCGTGATCGTGAGAATGCCACGATCGTCGTTAAGAATCTGCCCCATGGCATCACCGAACACAAAGTCCGGCAGTTCTTCCGCCATGTGAGTTGCCCCTTACTGAGTGCGTTGAGATTGTAGTAGCTAACTGAGTTATAGTGTGGTACGATAAATAGTGCTAAATTGCTGTCCAGTGATGACGGCAAGTCCGAGACAGCCATTATCGAGTTCAACTCCAAAGATGAGGCCGTTGTCGCGCAGACGCGTGATCAGAAGATCATTGATGAGCATACGATTGAGGTTCAGTTTGGATCGGGTTCTACGGTGTTTGTGACCAACTTCCCAGCGACAGCTGATGAACAATACATTCGCGACCTGTTCCGTGAGGTGACTTCCCCCCGGTGTTTTCATGATCCAAACGTTGGCTAACCGACTCTGTAGCACGGCGAGATTATCGATATCCGCTTCCCGTCCCTCAAGTATAACACGCACCGGCGATTCTGCTACGTGCAGTTCAAGACGGCCGGAGAGGCTTATAGCGCCACGCAGTTAGACGGGGCGACAGTGGGCAATGGCCTGCACCTGGTTGCCAAGATCTCGGACCCGACTCGCCGGCAGGACCGCCAGGGCCCCATGTACGAGGGACGCGAGATTCATGTGTCAAACCTCGACTGGAAAGCCAGTGAGCAGGACGTGGAGGAGCTATTCCTACGGTTTGGAACTGTGGAGCTGGTGCGCATCCCGCGCAAGGTGGATGGCGGCAGCAAGGGCTTCTGCTACGTGGTCTTCTCGTCTAAGGTAGGTGTTCCGGAGGATGCGCAAATGCGCGAGACTTTTTAGCTAATGCATCTTGCAGGAGGAAGCCGAGGCGTCGTTAGTGATGCACGAGCAGCAGTTCCGCTCGCGCCCGCTTCATGTGAAGCTGTCCACCCCGCAAGGGGCCAAACGAAGCGCGACAACCATCTTGTCTCGCGTTGGGACCCGGTCCCCATCGGTCGAGGTCAACGGGGCCAGGCGTGAGGTGAGCGAGGAGGTGCCAAACAGTGAACGGCAAGCACGCACGCTGGGCCTGATGAATGTCCCGGACACGGTGAATGATGCGCGGATCCGAGCACTCGTCGAGCCATATGGCAAGCTGATCAAGATTGTACTGCGGCCTGATCACCAGGGAGCGATTGTTGAGTTTGCGGACGTACATGAAGCCGGCAAAGCGTCCCTGGAGTTGGAAGGGCAGGAAATTACCCCCGGGCGCAAACTGCACATTGGCACGGTACCGGAGATGATGAAGCAATCGGCGGAGAAGAAGAGCAGCAACGGACCCAGCCAAGGTAGCAGCGGCAGCAGCAAGGCCAAAGATAAGCCCAGTGGACTCTTCCCCGTCGCGAAGCCGATCAAGCGCCCGCCGCAGCCAGGCGCGCGCGGCGGCAAGCGCGGCGGGCTGGGAGTGAAACGGGCGACGGCGACGAGCACGGCGAACGGGCAGACGACGACCACGACGACCACGAAGACGACGATGACGACCGACAGCGCCGCCCCGAGCGAGGGGCAGAGCACGAAAAAGAGCAATGAAGACTTCCGAGCGATGATCCAGCGGAGTCGAGCGGGTTGAGGGAGGGCGCGGCGCACAGGATGGCATGGCGGGAACCGGCGTTACCTCTCCGCTTGCTAATGACGACTACTACTACTACTCTTACTACTCTTGCTAAACTTTGCTAAGATTTCGACTTGGCGTGATGTGAATTTGACCTTCTACCGGCCAGTGCTGATGTTGAGAAGTTCTTGCTGATGCGTTTGCATTTGCCGCTTTGTGTATTATCATATAGCCTTAACCCTGCCGCCGGCTGAAGTTGAATGTAGATTATTATTATTCCCTTTATTTTGATTGCTTCCACGTGAATTGTATGTACCGTTGTAGATGTGGGTAACTTTACTGTAAGGTATTTCCGAATACCATGTATGGATCGATAGGAATTATCCTATAGTAGGGCTATTCCGAGAATCCTGGCAGATGGGAGCAGCACGCGGACCGACCAGGTTGTGAAGGGAGCAAGTCAACCGGTCGGGGAGTTGCAGGAATTCCTCAGGAGGAGAGAGAGAGATCAGTTGATGTTACTTACTACTAGTTACTAGTTCATAGTTAACTAACTAATGAGAGATAACTATAGGTCAATGTGACCCGCAGCTACACTGATGAAGACTCAATTCCCGTAAACAAGCTCTCTGGTGACCCCGGTGGATGGCCGAGCCCCTTGCTTCCGAAGTTGGCATGATTAATACCTATCTAACATAGTAAAGAGCAAAGAAGCCGGGCAGCAGCTGCAGTGCAACGTTCGGGAACCGGTTGGTAGACACTCTCTTCTCAAAGCAGTTCAAAGCAGTCCATCCCCGCCATGGGAGGAGGGCGCTTTGACCGAAAGGATCGACGGTCACTCGGTGGTAGGAATGTTTTATTCGTCTGTTGTCCCGCTGATGGCTGAGGGAATTACCGGTGGAGAATGGTGATGGACACTGAAGTATCATGCCAGATGGAGTTCCCTTTCCTCAAACATGCGAACCATGAGGACATGACCAGGTCAGTCTTGTCATACATTACTATTTCTGCCTCCCCCCTCCTTCTCGGTCCTTTTCATGATGCTGAGGTATTTTTCATGAAGTGGGAGGTCCTCGAGGTCGAAACTAGAGATGTTCTTTTCTTTCACTTGATGATGATGATAGTGCTGAATGGACTGATTTGATGCTTTCGGGGATAAGCTCCCGAGCGCAACTGTCACTGTCACCACCTGACCAGCCCTGCTTGTTTCTGCCTTCAATCCGGCTTTTTAGACCACCTCTTTTTCCTCCTCTTCTCCTCTTGATTCCCCTGGTTCTTTTCTTCTTCTTCTTCTTCTTCTTCTTCTTCTTCTTCTCTTTATCCCGGTCGGGATTATCATTTCTTCCCCTCTATATAATTATCACTTTTATTCATTCTTTTTCTCCCTTCTTCCCCCCCTTGGTTCCTCTTTCACCGCCCCCCATCTACTCGCCTGCACGGGCTCTGCTGCTTGTTGTCGTCATCGCTACTGGCCGCTCGCTTCCCCCGCCGTGATGGATTTCCATCTGGTGCCTCGAGGGGAAGACCGTAATTATACCGGGTTCCTCACCAAAACCATTGTTTATACGGCCTCGTTGATTGTATTCCTGGCCTGTAAGTCATGTGGCGCTCGTCCGATTCGCTAGCTGCATAGTTAGCAATTAATAGCTCGAGCTCCTGCCACCGATGCAACCTGTGCACGCGCACACGACACAACTAACAAGTCTCTCCATACAGCTTTCGGTCTCACCGTCGCCTCCATCGTCGTTCCGAAATGGGTCACCTATACGGATGATAAAGATGTTGGTTTTGCCGTCCCTTTCCAACTGTGCCCGACCAGCCACTAACAAGAATCACCACTATCCAGCCCCAATGGCGTTACACCTACGGCCTCCACCGTCGCTGCTCCCATGTAACCGGTCAATGCGAGACTTTTCCCCAGAATGATGAATGCCACGGTGACAACCGCTACTTCTGCTCCATGTGGCGCTCCGTCGGGTTTCTGATGTCGTTCGCCATCGTGTTGGAGGGAATGACCGTGGTCGCGTATTTGATTGTCTTGTCTGGGGGGAAGCGTCTGCGCGAGTCGGGGTGGAAGATTGTCAGTTTGTTGATTATTCTGTCGGCGGCGGTGCAGGCAGCTAGCATGTCGCTTGTGGTGAGTTCCCTGGTCATGATTTGATTTTGGTTAGTGGCATGCTAAGAAGGGTTAGGCATATCTCGTCGATAATGAAGACCGGTTTGCCAATGGATGGGTATTGAATGAGTCGTGGATCTTCTGCACCGTGAGTTGGTGTGTGAGTCTGTTTGTCGCCGGGGTGTTGATCCTGGCGGGTACTACGCTGCCGTCGGAGGGTGGCTATGAGTTGATCCCGGATCAGATCAACTGATTGAGCTTGCGCCCATGGAAGTAAAAAGATGGATGCAACAACATAATGAGGGATATGATTTGATTGGTAATGAGTGGCGTTGGTGGATGTGATTGCAGTATGCTTTTCAGCCTGATGTTATTGTTATTGGTATTTGAAAACGGTGTAGTTAGCTGGTATAGTTAACGTGATATAATCAAGAGATTATGATGATACTTTGCCTATTACAGGTTTCCATTCATCGCCTTATCCCTTCTGTCACCTACCCATCTTCTTATTTTGGTTTCAGATACACTTGCAGAGAGTCAGAGCCATCAAGGTAGCTAGCTATACATGCTTTAGTAGCAGATTATCACATGCCCGCATTACTTCTTGCTGGCCTACTGGTATGAAAGTATCCGTATCGATGGTCTAGAACTTGTGTTGTACGAGATATAACTGTTTTAGATTGATGAGTGTGGTGTATATGTGGTTGTGTAACTGTTTGCTATTCCATTTGGCTTTTATCAGAGTGGTGATTAGGTACTCCATAGTTATGGAAATGTAGGCACTTTTACTCTACATTACTTCTCTTATACGCACACTTACTGTACCATTTTCATACATTACATTAAATCATAACAACACTCATCAGCTGACCCAGCCCAGATAGATAGTAACTAGCAACTAGTAACAGAGATAACCCCCGCCCACCGATAAGCCGATAAGTAACTCAAGTCCCTGCATATAAAAAGCCCATGCACCACTTGACACCGACCCCACCTATTTTCCTTCCCCCCACACCAACCAACTAACCAACATCCTCACATTTCACACACACTCACCTCACCACCAAACCACCACAATTACCACCACCACAACCACAACCATGCCCGGCCTCACCCCCGCCCAACTCTCCACCTTCAACACGACCGGCTACCTCATAATCCCCGACTACCTCACCCCCGCCGAAATCTCCGCCTGCCTAACCGAAACCAACCACCTCCTGACAACCTTCCCTTTAGACACCCACCCCCTCACCCAATTCACCACCGGCGACTCCTCCCCAACAGACAAACACGTCGGCGACACCTACTTCCTCGAAAGCGGGGACAAAATCCGGTACTTCTTCGAACCCTCCGCCATCTCCCCCACGACCTCCACCCTTCTAAAACCCAAACACCTCGCGGTGAACAAAATCGGACATAGCCTGCACACGCTCTCCGAGCCCTTCAAGTCCATTACTTTGTCGCAACGCAACGCAGATATCGCCCGATCCCTGGGGTTCAAAGACCCAAGGGTGCTGCAAAGCATGGTGATTTGCAAGCAGCCCGGGATTGGAGGGGCGGTGCCCCCGCACCGCGATAGCGAGTTCTTGTATACGGATCCGCCGAGTGCGGTTGGGTGGTGGATTGCGTTGCAGGATGCTGGGAAGGGGAATGCGAGTTTGGGGATGGTGAGGGGGAGTCATAGACGCGGGGATGGGGGGGTGGGGAGGAGGTTTGTTAGGGTTTATGAGGGTGATAAGGAAGGGGGGGAGGTGGTGGGGACGGGGTTTGTGGAGAATGAGGGGGGGAGGTTTCCTAGGGGTTTGGAGGTGCAGGATAAAGAGGAGGGTGAAGGGGAGGATGAGGTCGAGGTGGTGGATGTTAAGGCGGGGTCGTTGGTGTTGATTCATGGCAATGTGTTGCATAAGAGTGAGAGGAATACCGGGGATAAGAGTCGATTTGCTTATACGTTTCATGTTATTGAGGGGGCGGAGGGGTGGGAGTATGATGGGAGGAATTGGTTGCAGCCGACTGGGGAGGGGTTTTCGAGGTTGTATGGTGATCATTCTATGTAGGTAGTAGTTCTCTACTGGGTGGGTGTGTAGAAGAGGGTTAAGAAGTATGCATGTATGTATCATCTATGTAGCCACCAAACTCCATCCAGGTATCCAATAGTAGTAACTATGCTTTTTGTATTGTTTCTGCCTGCTCACGCAGCAAGCATCTCCAACATTCCCTTCGTCTGGTACGCTTGATGCGCCATCTCCACCTCGTCGCGCACTCGTCGGTGCAAGCGCTCCACCATCTTGTCGATTTGCGCCGACTGGCCCAGGTTGCCCGAGTAAATGTCCAGCACGTTCATCGCCACCTCCACGCTCAGCTGCACCAGTCGCGGCTCCGTGATGTTCTTGTGCACCCATTGCAGCACCGGCTGCAGCGTCACCTCGTCGCGGTTCTGCAGGGACGCCCGCAGCGCGGACCGATGCCGCAGCGCCGTCAATAGCGTCAATTGTGCCGTCTTGTCGTTCGACCGCAACACCTGGTCCAGGGCTGCAGAGTACTTCGCCTTGCGCAGGTCGAGTTCCCACGGCTGCTCCTTCTTCCGCTTCTTGAGGTCCCGCCCCTCGATCACAATGTCCACGCCCTCACCGACAAAGTCCTGTCCGCGCAGACGCTTCTCCCATCCGGATCCGCGCTGCTTCTTCTGCTTGGCTGCCTTCCGGTCGTGCTCCTCCAGCTTGCCCTCCAGCAGCGCCTGCATCTCCTTGCGACGCTCGCGCTCGCGGATCTTCTGCTGTCCGGACAGCCGGGTCTTGATTGACAGCAGACCGGACTGCATACCGACGGCAATGTGCTTATCCTCCTGGGCGATGCCCGATGTGATCGCGCGCAGTGAGAGAATGGGGGACGGGTACTTGGAGCCCGAGACCATGTTCCAGCCGGTCGTTTCGAATACCTTCATGTGGCCGTCCAGCGCACCGGAGAGCAGGCGCTCGCCGTTCGACGCCAGCGCCAGCGATGTGACGGTCTTTTGGTGGCTCTGAATCATGTGCAGGGGCTTGCCGGCCACGATATCCAGCACCGCGATCTTGTTGTCGGCCGCCGCAAGCACCGTCGTGCCCGTGGGCATGGGCAGCACCGTCTCGATGGCTGCGCCCATCTTGAATGTCATTGCGGACCGGTTTTCGACACGAGGATCCCACAGTCGCACGGTCCGGTCATAACTACCGGAGACCACCAGGCCAGAGGAGGCTAGAGATCCTGGCATGAATGCACCGCTGCGCACGTAATCGGTATGGCCGGTGAAGACCTTCTGGCTGTTCTCGCTGGGCAAATCCCACAGGCGTACCGTCCGGTCGTCACTGGCGGTCATGACGCATGTAGGGTCGCTGGGGGAGAATTTCGTGACCCAGACGGGCTGCTTGTGGTCCTTCCATGTCTTCAAGATGGCACGGGAGCTCACGTCGAACACCTGCACCGTACCAGAGTCATCACCGACGGCGATGACTCGTCCGTCGGGACGAACATCTGTGCCTCGTACCGTATCATCGAAGCGGGTGATTGTGCGGAGGAGTTTGCGAGTGCGGATAGAGTAGATCTGGACGCGGGCGCCGGTGGTCACGGTGAACACATCGGGAGGTTGGGTGAGGGAGGGGAAGGCGGAGGCAGAGGAGGGAGCGGAGGGTTGCGTGATGAGGTTGACGGGGCCATTGGCAGGCGAGGGGATGAGGAGAGGATTCTTGAAGGTCTTCCAATATTGTTGCTCCGGCGTCAAACGAGTCGAGGGCAGCGCCGGCAGCTTGACCTGCTGCAGAGGGAGGACGGGGGCAGCCATGGCTGCGATTGCCCAAGTCGGGATAGATTAATAGGAAGTGGAATGTAAGACTGCCGAATTGGATAAAGAGGAGAGATCAGCCAGCAGCCTGCGCTTTGGACGTTGTCGGCGTCGTCAAAGTGGTTCGGGGAAATTTTTTGGACGGAGCCTCTATCGCATCGGGAAAAGTCTATCGGCGCCCGATTAGGTTTAGCGCGGATACTGCTATAGTCCATTTGGAGTTGATCCCATCAGCAAATTATCCATCAGGAAGAACCTTGTGAATTTTGCCCTTGTGAGATTTAAAGATTGGGATATACTGCTATGCATTGTGGCTTTGAGTAGCTCTTACTCATGAGTAGTGTGCTTTCTCAGGTGTTCACGATGGGTATTCCATGAGATAGTTCTCGATATTGTGAGAAATCTTTTGTTACTAGTATTAGTTGATAGACATTAGTAGTCACTGATTTCCGATCATTATGACGGTAGAGTCCAGAGGAAAGTTGTATTAAGGTATATGTGGTTGAGTGCTGACACCGAGAGTGACTTGTAGGATAGCATTTGACCGAAGCATTTTTTAGGGCTCTTAGAAGACCGGAAAGCATTTCTAAGAAGAGCAATTGTCTCAATTGCAATATAGTTATATATCTAGATATATAAAAGTCAATTTATGCAATTAAAAAGTCACCAGGGTCTTTCTTTCTGCTCACTCTTTAGTAAAGATGAATGGGGAAGACAAAAGTACCTCGCGGCTGGTCTGTCCGGGCCGTAGCTTCCCTGACACTAACAACAGCAGATCTACTCTCTACAACGGAGGCAGCCACACGAATGTTCATACATCAAATCCACACATACAACACATAGGACCCTCTCCTCTCTACACTTTTTTACTGCTATCATCCCCGTACCCATCATTGGACAGCAATCAGCTAACGTCCAGACCGCATTCAAAGGTCCAGGCCCATCTCACCGCCGAACGCCAAACCACGTCATGAATCAAGAGCTGAAGCTACTGCAAAGCTGGTCGAACTCAGTATCGGTGACCAGTTCAGACAATGCGCTTACTATAGTTCCATTACCATTGCTGACCGGTAGCTTCTATCTCCTCTATCTAGATTCCAGTCACCGTCTGCTCCACAGTTGTGCGTGTTGACCAACACAGACCCAAGCATTGGACAACTTGGATTCGAGGTCTTGATCAGCCTCAACAGCCTCATCAACGCCTTACCAAAAATGATATCCACCTCACCTCACAGTCAAGTGTGACTAGATGTGATGTTGTCTCCGACCTCATGCCCTATCACAATCTGAGGCCCACTTGAGCACCGACATCTATGCTGTCACAATCAGACAATGGTAGCTTAGATTAGCCAAGGACCATTGTGGACTGAGACATTGACCGTTTTGATTCTGATCGGGCAGGATTGGAGTTATACTTGGGTATACAGAATGGATCCTGCTATGGATCAGTTGTGGGGAGCTTGATCTAGGTATGTGCCTGGCCGAACTTTTCCCGTCTCCAGGGCGATTGCCCGGTTCGGGGGAAAAAGCATGGAGACCATGCCATATCGCATTGCTCCATAGCAAGCTTCTAGTTGCTGCAGTTTCCTACTCGAGTGGGGTTTGTCCTTGATTTCTCGTTCCTTGATTTCTCCAGGCTCTTCATCTTTTGACTTTACACGGAAGCCCAGACACCCGCTATTGGCCAGCTTGCCAGGCACCCGGGACACCGTGGGAAGCGTCCGACCCATCCTTATTCGTGCCCGGCCGTGCAGAGCCGATCAGCCACACCCCAGCTGCCGCTGCCGATCGTCTTGCGGAATGTCACAGGCTACTAACTACACTAACCACTAACCAGTTAACCGCCTGCGTTCCACGTGGGTGTGACTCCAAGGTTAGTCTAGACCAGGAGTCAGCGGGCCCGCGAATTCAATTGACTCTTTCCGAGACGGAAGACGGAGTAGACATCTGCCAACTTCAAGGCCTGACGGGTTCTTGGTGGAACAATGGCACGACTAGAACTTTTCGAGAGTGCCTTACCAGATTGCTTCGCCCCGTCATGACATCAGCCTACGAAGCTCAATCTCGCTTGTGGTGTTTCTACGAATCAAGCCTAATTTTAGTGGCTGGGATAAGCTGAAGCCGATGCAGTGCACAGGCAGCAGATTTGTATATTATTGACATCCTGCATTGTAGGCGTATTCGACGAAGTTTGGGACTGACGTATGCAATGGCGTCGCAGAAGCTGCAGCGACAGCACAAGGAGTGGAGGCAGACACTGTAACGGAGCTGCCGCTCTAACTAGCAGGGCGGCCGCAGCGTCGGATGATTTCCTGTCCATCTCCACTGACACCGCAAGCATCATACCTCGTGCGATAGCCTCGTCTGATGCGGTCGAGTCCGGTCATGTTTGGTGTCATTTGAACGGTCGAAAGACAGCTCTACGCATGAGGTAGAGAACCGGAAAGGGATCCGTGGCATTTTCAGGTCCATCCAGGTATGTGTGCAGCATCTTTTGTCTTGTATACTCGTCTCAGGTTAGAAATCCGTGGCTGGAAGTTATCTCACAACCCGGCCTCCACATGGGGGCCAGATCCCTAAGGTTGTCACCTTGTGACTCCTGGGATCCGCCACCAGCCCCACCATCCAATCCGAACAAAGAACGCGGGTAATCTAACGAAAGTTACTGGTATTGATTTGTATGATTCCAAGCAGGAAGGCGCGATCGGGCCAATCAGAGCCCCACTCCCAGCCACATCACCCGCCCAACCTCCCCTTTTACGGCCGGCCCCACCCGTTTTCGCCACCCAATCAGTGCGCGCGTTGCTTATCGATAAGCCGAGATCCTCCAGCTCCCAGAACTATGCCCGTCCTCCCTCCCTTTCTCCCCTCCCTGCACTCTTTTCTGCAAAACAACTTCACGCGAAACGAACTGGTCTCTCGTTACTATTACTGCTCTACCTTGCTGCTCCACATTTGAAAAACAAAACCATCCAACCAACGCTCATCTGTCCTTCGTTACTCTCCTTCACGCTCTCTGTCAACACACCCCTACCGAACTGCGTCTTGTCACTCCTTCATTATATTCCTCCCTAGGATAGTCTAGCAACATGATGGACGCCAGAGTCCCCAAGCGGGGCTTAATGGCAATGGCTCACACTGCTCATGCAGCGGGCATCTTTGCGGATATGTCCGTGGATGGCCCAATTATTGGCACGTTGGTGGTCGTCGCCGACCGCGCCAAAAACCTCCCAAACAGAAAAACAATGGGCAAGCAGAACCCGTACTGTGCTGCGCGCCTTGGAAAAGAAGCAAAAAAGACTGGTACAGACCTGCGAGGTGGTCAAACTCCCAAATGGTATGTATCTTGCCGCCAGCTGAACTTGGACGTCAGATAGACGAAGCTAACTGACGTAGGGATGATGAACTTCGCTTCAATGTACACGAATCTCCAGACTACTACAGATTGAAAGTATCTGTTTTCAACGATGAGAAAAAGACCGACCTCATTGGAGAAACATGGGTCGACCTGAGTGATCTGATCATTCCGGGCGGCAGTCAAAACGACCACTGGCATCCCTTGCAATACCGTGGAAAATACGCTGGCGAAGTCCGGCTTGAAATGACCTACTATGATACACGACCCGAAGATGAAGCAGTGATCGAAAGAAGAACGCCCGCCTCTGACAAGGTCCACCCAAGGAAGATTGCATCCTTCAGCTCAGGTCCCGCGGCGCCTAGCCCTGGTACCCTCTCTGGTCCCAGGCAGTTGAAAGATGTCAAAAGACGGCCACTCCCTTCGGATCCTCGCCCGAGATCTTCGGCGCACTCAAGCACATCGAGCAGCTCACCGGTCCGTGCTAATGAGAGCACGAACCCGGCTCCAACCCTCCACCACCACAGTCACAGCCATCATCAAGACCTCAGACAGCCAAGAGTGGATAATAGCAGCTCTGGAATGAGTGATAGCACCACCTCGCTCCCTACATACAACCATAGAGAATACGCAAGCCCGCAACGACTGGAAAGTAACAGTATGGTTGTTGCCAATCCCACGGGATCCTACCCCACGAATCCCTGTCCCTATCCTATCAATCCTTCAGACAGCGGCTCAGGTGCCACACATAGCACGACTTCATTGCCAACTTATCAGAATCATGATTACACAAGGCCTCATGTTGAGCATAGCAACCCGCCGATGAGCGACAGCTCCAGCTTGCTTCCACTCCTTCCAAACCCTCACCGAGTTGAGTACGCTAGCCAGGCACCGCCTCACAGCAGCAGCAACTCACTCGTCGGCAATGCCACGAGCTCGTACAATACGAGTTCATGTCCGTCTTATCATGCGGAGTACACAAAAATACCAGATAGCAGTTCGTTTGCCTCGACGAACTCGAGTGCACAACAGCCGGCCTACGGGCATTATCGTGAATATGCACAGATTGGATATACGCCCCCACTTCTCACCGACAGTCAGCCTTCTTCCCTGTCATACGCGATGATGCAACCCCGTGTTGAGGATGAAGAAGAAGACGGACTTCCACCCCCTCCACCCGCTCATCGCTCAGGACTGGTTCCCTCCAACCAACCAGTGCCAGTGGCGCCGAACCCTGGCCCTCAGACGTACATGCAACCGGCTCCTCAGACGTACACACAACCAGCTCCTCTGCCGCAGGTTACCATGCCCGAGTTGATGGAAAAGCCTGCTTCGGACAACAGTCTGCATACCACCCCGTCGTGGGATCCCAATTGGGATTATCCCAGAGGCAGACGTGAGGAAACTGCCGTGGCCACAACAAATGCAGTGCCAGCAAGTCTGGTTCCTGGATTTGATCCGGTAGTTGCAGCAGCCGAATCGGATCGCGCGGCGTATGAGCGAGAAGTCAGACGAAGGAGCGGTAATTTCGATGAAAATCCGCTGCAAATGGTTCATCAGCCAGCTGATAACAGGAGACACTCTCGTGGTCTCTATGACGAGAATCCTCTGAAGAAACCTGTCGATACTCGGTCTCTTGTGAGCCGAACTTCGACAGCTCCCAATAATCAGCTTGTCCCTAGAAGAAAATCAGTCAGCCCCCGACCCCCATCGATGAGGGGCCGAGAGGTGTCTCCTGTTCCGTTTTCTCCCGATTCCTATCTGCCTGAAGCGGCGCGAGAGCCAGCAGCGCGAGAGTCAGGCCCCATTATCGGGGATGATGGTCGGGAAATTGATCCTTCTGACCATTTGCCTACAAATACTTGGGCCCCAGAGCCCGAACGAAAAACCAAAAAGCCGGGAGTTGTTGTGCGTTTCCGCAGCCCCGTTCATCGAGACAGTCCTCCCAAGGACTACGGACATCGCAAGTCCATGTCCGAAGCATACTCTAATTCTCCCTCACGGCTATATGCCGAGGCAAACAACCCCCCTATACCATCTAAGGTGCCTGTTGGGTTACCAACAAAAAATTATGGAAACATTGATCAAAGCTACGATGCTCTGAGCCGAGAGCTCAATACGATAGATATTGGAGGATCTGGTCGAGGCATGAAAAGATATGCCCTTAGTTACGTGTCTTAGATAGATACTGTTGTCTTTGCGTTATGGACAGCGATGTGCTGCATCTGTTTTCTCTAGATAGGATGTTTTTCTTTTCTTCTTGTCTCTGGCAGGTTCAAGTGTTTGCTTTAGATAGCTTTTTTTTTCATGTCTTTTCTTTCGGTTTAGGTAGCTTCTCATTCTTATGTCAGATAGCTAGCTATCTTTATGATACCAATGTTACTCTTCAAAAGTCTTTACACTGTGTCTGAAGGAAGCGATATGCGAACCACGCCAATAACAGTGATATCACCAGCCACTAGGGAGTAGACATAACAAGTAATCAATAAACAACCAAAAGTAGTTCAATACTGATCTCAGTTACTATACCCCGTATACGCAATTGAAACCCATCTTTAACAAGAATCCTCCCCTACTGAACCAATACCTACGCAAGCCCAGCAACAAACCTGGATGAAAGCAATTCTAGAACCCCAATGGAAGAGTCGAAGGGCCAAGACCCGCAACAAATGAGACCATCACGAACCAATTACAAATGAGGCATGATTCAGATTGACTTCATTATGAACCATTGATTGACATTGAACCCGTGCGGAGGCACCCATACATCTTCTCTTATTTGTTTGGTGGGGACGAGTTACTGTTATGGGGGGAAGGGGATGACATCACATTTGTTGCCACTGGAGTTGAGGTGTAGGTATAAGTATCCTTCTTCGTTTGAGGACAATGCCTATTGTTTGATTATAATTTTGAAGTTTAATCTATTCTATAATAAATATCTTACTGTCAATTGATTGAATCTATCTGAATATACTCGGATATCATCTTCTATACAACCAGCGAGAAATACAACCCCACAACAACAAACAAAATGTCCTACCGCACCACCTCCAGCTCCTCCTCCGCCTACTCTTCCTACTCCTCTTCCACCTCTAACGACAACAACAACAACAACCCCCGAACCGAATCGACCGGCCACCGCTACGCCACTACCTCACACACCGACCCCACTGGGGCTACTACCGTCCGCACCGGATACCAGAATCTAGGCGAGGAGCCGGTTTTCGAGGAACGGAGATTCGATTCAGCGGGTCGGGAGGGCGCGTTGTTGGATACGCAGGGTGGAATGGGTGCTGCTGGGGGAACTAGGGCTATTAGGGAGTTGGATGAGGATGCTGACGAGGGGGAGTGGGAGGATGGGACTTATTAAGTATTGAGTGATGGGGTTTTGTGGAGGGGGTGATATGGTATATGTGTGTTTGATTTGATGGTAATGGTAATGGTAATGAAATGTGATCATATTGATATACCGAAGTTCTAGGTAGTGTAATGTATACTGTGTGATTGTTGACTGCTGGGATTGTTGGTGATGGGTTATACCTGTACCGTGTCCAGCTGTCTAAGCTAGGCGTGGATGTCTGGGCCGTAGTCTAGGTCGTTGTTTAGATTCGGTATATATGTTGGTTGGTTAGCATGATAACTTTGATTGAATGGGGTTGTACTTGGTAAATAAACCGATTGTGGGTGCCACAGAGAGAGAATGTTCGTAAGATGCAGGTTAGGGAGCTCAATGATGATGGGAATGGTGAGAACTTATAGAAGTAATTAAGCTACAATGTAGACTCTTGCTAGTGCTTACTTGCTTCTTCGGGCTGCCGAAGACCGATCGCATCGCTGTACTTTTGCAATGAGAATGGTACTTGTATAAAGATGAGAACCGAACTGTGATTTAATGAGAGTGAAAGAATGGATATAATAGTTAGGAATGAATTAGTAGTTAGGTTATGTATCATCTTGATCTATCAACAAAAGAGAGAGGTTCTGGCTGAGTCCGACATAAAGGCTTCTGGAATGATCGTGCCGTGATACACCATGTCAAGTAATCTATGCCAGCCATGCCTCGATAGCGAACCGCAGGTTCTCCTGCAACCACTCCTCATCTCCTGTAGTCTCGCTTTCAAAGCCATGACCCCCTGGCCGCAGTGCCAAAACAATCTTATCCCCTCCCGGCTTCCCATCCATCACTTTCCTTGCCTTGTCCACGAAGGCTTGACTAACCTCCGGAGGCAAGATGTCATCTTCCAGGCCATGTCGGATAGAGATACCTCCACGGGGGAACTTGACGTCCGGCTCATCCAGCCGTTCCATAGGGTGCCGCAATGCCCGCCGGGGGTCTTTCTCAGTTCCACGTTCGTAGAGTTCATAGAGGCGTGCAACCTCAACAATGGCAAGCATTAAAGGCAATCGCTCAGGCGGCGTAATCGATGATTGGACTACTCCCTTTTCACTATCTCTGATCGCTTCATCGACAACACGGTTTGCCTCTTCCAGAGACAGACCGCTCAAACGAGGTGGGTCCTTCCGTGCGGAAACATCCTCGACAGGAGCACTGGGAAAGCCAGGAAAGCTTGCTGTTGCAGCCCGGATCTCCTCTGGGTGCGCCAGGGCGTGACAGATGCTGAGTGTGCCACCGGCGGATTCACCGGCAGTAATGATGCGATCTAGGTCGAGTTCTGTTGGATTAGGCTGGGATGAGAGAAGTTCCGCCGCTGCGGGCGAATGCAGCCAGATCCAGAAATCCTCAATGTCGTCGAACAGGTCAAGGGTGGTGGCCTCGGGAAGGAGGCGGTAGTTTGGAGATACGATCACCGCATTGTGCTGTTTCGCGATGTCGAAGAGGTATTGGGGAAACCATTCAAAGAAAAGCGCGTCTCCGGTTAGCTACTGCAGGTTAGTATCGTACATATTGATGGTGCTTGTCTAGTGAGTGGGCCACTTACGAAACCCCCGCCATGGAAATGGATGATAACTGGCCGCTTGCCGGTGTAGTTTGACTGGGGAATGATGAAATCGGCGCGGATGTTGTGATCGCCGACTGTTTTATAGTTGGTTTGGACCAAGTCAAAGCCGGCCAATCGCTTCTGCGCCAAGGGTGACTGCATTTTGTCAGGATTTCAAGCCAAAGTTGTTATTGTATAATCGAGAGGATAATGAAGTACACCGAGGCATCATTCTGGCAGGAAATTGGCCCAATTTATGGTCTGTTGAAGATCACTTTGTTGAATGGCCATGTCGGAGATCGCACGGATCAGCCGCTCTTCATGATGATATTTGTCTGGTTTGCTCTGTTTGTCGGAGAAGAGCCTGGCATGTGATTGGCTATCTACTTAGTTGGTATGGGGTGCTTGTTTGCATGGATAACCTCAGATGCAAACATCTTACAAATCTCATTTTTGCGCTCAGATTCCTCGGATTTGACAATGAGACCGAAGCTGGGCATTGCTTGATTTCTACTCCGGATCCAAAGTAGGCACTAATCTGACAGGTGGATTACTTCGCATATTTCTGGTACTTCTATATCAAGCAAAGGAGATAATGATCGGAGACCGGGCGCACGGGCACCCATGTCCGGCGACATCCCCTCGGGTTTGATAGAGAGGTCGAAGCTGGAGTCTTACCCTACCTTGATTCTCGTTCTAAGGAAAACACTCTCAGTTCAAGGGGTTCTGATTATGATTTATCTGACAGGTTGCCTCTTGCTTACCTCTGCTAACCCTAAAGCAAAGGAGATAATGATCGGAGACTGGGCGTGTGGGGGATGTGATTCCTCCCCCACCTGCTGACGCGGACTTAAGCGGACTTAAGTGGACACACACTAATATTTGACATCATGAGCTGTACTGCAATGGATATAATTGAGTTTTCCCATACACCAAAACTCGTTGTTTCCATCTTCAAACTCCCCAATCAGACAAGATGTCCTCCAGCAGCTACAACTACAACAAACTCGCGGGCAAGCATGTCCTGATCTTCGGAGGCACCTCCGGCATAGGCCTTGGAGTGGCCAAACTCTCACTAGCCGCATCAGCCAGAGTCACCGTGTCTTCATCCTCAAGCAAACGCATTGAATCCACCATCCAAGATCTCAAGACAGAATTTCCAAGTGCCCAGGTCCAAGGACACGTCTGCGATCTTTCCAAAGACACTGTGGAAGAAGACCTCGAGGCGCTCTTCCAAAAGACCAACCAAGTTGACCACATTGTCTTCACCGCCACCGATGCGCCAGCCATCATGCCCGTGCAGGAAATCACTCGGGAGAAGCTCATCGCTGCCGGTCAAGTGCGCTTTTTTGCGGCCGTACTCGTTGCCAAAATTGGCTCTCGATATCTCTCCCCGGGTCCCGAGTCATCAATCACCTTGACGACGGGGACCAATTGGGAACGCCCGATGGCCAATTGGACGGCGGTAGCTGGATACTTGGGTGGTACTTGCAGTGTTGCACGTAATCTGGCGGTTGATTTGAAGCCGATACGTGTGAACGCTGTGAGTCCTGGACTGGTGAGAACTCCGCTATGGAACGATCTGATGAACGAAGAGGAGCAGGAAAGTATATGCCAATTTGCTGCAGCGAAGAATCCGACGGGGAGGGTCGGTCTACCGGAAGAAGTGGCAGAGGCTTACATTTATTTGATGAAGGATGCAAACGTTACTGGACGGATTGTGAGTACGGATTCGGGTGCTTTGCTTGTGTGAGTGTATCAGCAGCAGCACTGTCTTAATGGACTTTAAATGGCACTTATTTTGGCATAGAATGCCACAGCTTGCTATGGACATTATTACAGACATACGATTAAAGCCCGTTATAGTGATTGCCTCAATAAAAGGTTGTCACGTAATGGCTCCCTGATATCAGTATCTCGGTTCCTTCACCATAATTCCAACTTACGTAGTACCCAGACCAACGCGATTATAATACAAATAAGCTAGCCCTTCCTCAACTCGCTTATAAATCTCTCCGGCAGCACCTGACCGGTCTTATAAATACAGACAACTAACTGAATAGCACTACTCCTACCCAGGGCGCAGACACGCCAAATCCAAGACCAAAAAGAAAAGCCAACCGTCCAATAACCACCAACGAGCTACAAGCGAGAAGTGAACTGTAGTACAAATTAGGCACACATGGTCGAATTGCCTCTTATATACTACCCGAGATTACATTCCAGACTAGGAGCCGCCGCCTCATTGATCTCAAATCTAGACACGACCCTGGTTGAATTGGGGTCATTCACGTCCATATGCACATTACTTCATTATCCGAACGGCTGTGTCACCTTTGAATAGTGTTTCAGTCATTCAGTTCTCTGCTGTGCGCGCATATACCCCTACACTGCCCCGTCCGTCATGATAGCCGGGTTTGCAATCCCCCAGACAGATTGAACTTGTATATTCCCTCCGTATATGCCTAACGTCATGCAGATACGAGTTGGTCAATTGACCAAGTACTGAGTACTGAGAACTAGGCGGATACATGAATGGGACTGAGCCAGGTCTGAACATGGACTATCATAAGGGACAAATAACTTATATATAGGACCGTAATCTACTTCCATATCATCAGCTACAACCCAGCCTAGGGAGTCTTCAAACAAACATCAGATAGTAAAACCTACTTACCACCTTGTCACAACTACTGCCTACTATCTACTACCAAAATGAACCTCCTCACCACCCTCTCCCTTCTCCTCCCCTTCACCCTCGCCCACCCAACCAACCCCCTAACCGCCGCCCTAGACATCGCCCACGACGCCACCCAATCCGCTGCCAATATCATCTCCTCCACCCCCAACATCATCACCTCCTCTGCGCCCTACGATCTCGTCTCCGACCTCTGCACCCCAACAGGCGCAAATTACTGCAACCTCGGCATCGCCACGTACGCACCCAACGGCCGGGTCCAGCTGCGCGAGACCTACGTCTACGATCGCTCCTGCAGGGGACTTGGGGCTCTGCCGCAGAGCCTCGATACGGGCCATTGGTCCCTGCATTCGTTGTTGCCGTGGACGGTGGAGGTTGATGTTAAGGGCGGTGGGAAGAAGCCGGAGGGCGATGCTTGGTATGCCGGACGGAAAATCGATTTGGGGAAGAAGATGGCGTGTAAGGATTGTGCGGGGGGGTTGAAGGATTGGCAGTGTTGTAGGGTGGCGTTTGATTGTCGGTAGATGACTATCTTAGTTTAGTGGGAATTGGTTGGGGTAGGGCAGGCAGTCTTTCGGGTTATGTTGTTTTTATCTGGTTTGGGGGAATTGATGGTTTGGGGTCAGTTATGAATTCGATGAGGAGAGTATGTTAGAGGAAGAGTGTGATTGTGTGTGTAGAAAAGGGGTTAATGGAAGTGGAGAATAATGGTCTCTTTTATAGGTAGTATGATTTTGGGACGGACGTATTGCCCCGTCTGCTGTCCGATATATCGTTTCTGGTCTTACGGTCAGCATTTTGACATATGATGTGGTCTATTTCAATTAGTAACGCAATGG